AAAATTGAATTCTCTATCGATTAAGTCTAGGAAGAACTCTTCGGACTACTGTAAAGTATCTGAAAAACAACGAATAAAAGAGGCTCGTTTTATCTGGCCCACTTGTTAGTATCACTGATGAATCAGAAATCCAGATCTGTTGACTATTAAAAAAATATAGAACTCTACAAATTTGCATTTATGAAATTGACACGGACATCATCTTAGCACTGTCAATAGAGCCAAGTTTTAACAGCAGTTATTTTTAAAATCCTCTTTTCGGGTTGGTTAAAAAAGCTTAGGCATTGCTGAAAATAACACTGGTTTGTGAAGCAGATCCATACTGAAATGCTGAGTATATGCTTGCAAAAATTATGATTTTAAGAGTAGATTAATATCGCAATAAAGTCAATAATTAACTCCTCAGACGCAGGTAAAGTACTTTTGTTTTTCAACTTTTGAAACTTACTCTATCGAAGTTTTGATGGACGCCGCTTGTTCAAGACACTCAGTAATGAATTGTGAATCTCTGTTAGCACAGCAAACATCACTACTCAGACTAATTTTGTCTGTTTATACATGAACTAGTTTTGACGGATATTCCGTGTCATACCCCTGCGTTCTTGAAAGAAAGGAAAAGATTCCAGGTTACGAATACTACACACTGGGAACTTGGTATGCCAGGTACTTCTTCCAGTCAAGGAAATCTGAATTATTTATATAGTACATCTATATTAACTGATACTTTATATTTTTCAGAAGAAAGAAGGCAGACAAAACAACATAGCTATGCCATATCACCAGCAGAAAAGTAAAGTTCATGCAGAGTCGCGGAAAAGTGCTTTTTCGTATTCAGTACACTCGATAATCCAGAAGATTTTCTATTTTTGGCGAGGGATACTTCTAAAAGTTTGGGAAAATTTTTGAAACTAATATTATTTTCCCATGGAAATTGTTTTCCGTGATTTTGTTCAAAAAAAAAATTGCCTAAACGCTAAATGAACCTTATTTTTTTCTTCACGTTGATATACAGTAATTCTTCGTTTTCTCGAATCGCTGTAAAAGAAAAGAGAAGTTTTTTTCGAAACAATTAGAGATGACGGGAAAGTTATTTGTTCCAAACGATTTTGAAAAGTACACATTTATTATTAGCAAAAAAAAGAGAGCACATTGGTTTTGTCTTTGAAACAAAATTAGTCAAGAATTGATCGAGAACAGATTAAGAATAATACATGTATGTATGTACAAACAGTATCACTGACACAACATTTAGCAAATATTCAAATTTATAATAAAAACAAACAAACGAGAGCAGACGAGGGTCGAGCATGAGATTTTTTTGTAGAAAATAAGCTATAGCAATAGAAATATATTCTACTTTTCTGGAAGAACTATTAATGTTTGATTTATATGTTAGTTCAATGAGTATCTATGTTTGAGATTGAGTCGGTGGAGGACGTCGTGTTTGAACTAAAGTTGGTTTAATTAATTTTTGTCTTAATGTACTGCTGTATTCATCTTGTGGTTCTGAATCAGCACATGTATGAATAATTATTTTGGGTAAATTTCCTTGACTCGGTAATACTTCATGGGCTTCATCTAAAAGAAAAAAAAAACCAAACTCTTCTACCTTAAATGAAATTTAAGAAAGACAATTATAAGGGTTTGTTCGCAGTTTATAGCCTACAAAAACATTTTTACCAGTACTTGTACGGCACTATATCAGTACCATTCATTTTATCCCAGTGAAGTACTGAAATCGTTTTTGTAGAGTAGGCTCAACAGTGAACTTGTAACAAAAGTGATCCTGTAATATTATGCGCGAATCGAAACAAAATATTTGTAGAAAGTGTTGTAAGAGTTATCGTTTTCTATTTTACATACTTGGCTGCAATTGTGCAATAGCTGCTAATAAATTTAAATCAACTATCGGTGGATCTTCAATTTTTTGTTCCCAACCCACTGGCGGAGAGGCTGGTGGTGAAATTAAGAATAATTTTTCAGGTTCTGGAGGGCGTAAATAAGTCTCTGTTGATCGAATAGGTAGTGGCTGAAAGAAAGAAATCAAATAGATTTAACATTAAGTAAATAACAAGAGAGACTTACACAAGCAAAATATGTTTTAAATTTGGATCCATGAAAATTGCATTCATGCACGTTAATACGAGCGTGTAATGCATTCAATGAATTAGTAAATGTAATACGAACACGTTGAAAAAATTTCAAATATAAAACAATTATATTTGGATCATATCGACGAAATATTGCTTCAAATTCGGTCTAAAATGGAATAACAACAATAAGTCATTAGTTACTTGAATTAACAATAGAAAACTTCTACATTTTTCTCGAAAGAATAGATTTTTGTACAATGAAAAATATTTGCACGTTCTGCAGTCAGCAGTATCTTGGAGACGAATACTGTACATTTGCCCTGAGAGCACCATAGTTAATCAAAGAAAACACAGATTATACTAAATTTTCATTAATGATGGTACTAACAGAGGCAACTACAACTGACGATCTGTCTTTCTTTCTTTCTTTCTTTTCTATTTTTAATACGAAATGTAATGGATAAAAAGAATCTTTACATCCCAAACTGTCGTGCAATAACAGACGTACTCAACTCATAACCACAAATTGGCCCACTCACTAGCTTGAAAACAAAGAGACTAAGTAGTCTATACGATAATAAGTTAGGAAATAAACAAGCAAGCGCGTATGATAAAAGTCAAGTTAAGAGAAACTAGAAGTGAATGAGAATAGAAATAACAATAAAAACGGACGTACTAAATCAACTGTAAATGATTTCTTAAAAAGAAATTTAAAAATTTTGACAGCAGAGGCTAATCTTACTATTTCTCAGAACAATAGATGAATGTCCAGTGACTAGTCATTCGAAGTTTGACTGAAAAAAGACAACTGTAATGTTCCATGTTACAACAGAATCAGACTGGGAAATAGAGTCAACAGTTTATACGATGACGAAGAAATCAGAGGATGTAAATCATTCACAAACAAAAATAAGGATCATAGTCGAGCATAGCTACGATTACAGGTTTTAAATTAAAGTGGGTATTCTTTATTTTATAAATTATTGAGTATAAAACTGCCACAAAGAACATGATAGATTTAAGCAAAAATCATAATTTTATTCGAGCTTTCGATAAGAATCTCTTATCATTATCAGGAATTCTCTATGGTGAAATTTGTTGTTGTCTGTCTATAAATGAAGTAGAGTTCACGTACACCAATAGAAGCACGCTTATGAATTAAAACAGAATAGTTTACTCGATCCAATGCTCAAGCATATTCAAGGTCATATAAATATAGTGCTGTTCACTCTAACAGTTTTGCTGTCAATAGTCGGTTACAAACATAGAGAAGTACGTCCTTGATGGACAACTTTTGGGTCAAAAACAAACTGGTTGCGATTTAGAAAATTGTTTGATAAAAGAAAAGCACTTTTCATGAACAAATTTTCAAGAATTTTACAAGCACAGAATTGAAACAGAAGCTTTTTACAAATGTATAACATTCTTTTCTTTGAATTGCGGTAATTATTGAGTTCTTTCACTGCTCCAATAATACTATTTTTAATAGGAGGAAAAATGCTGCATGATTATCTGCATAATACTCCGGCGTATAATTCATAGAATATAATGAGAAGGTAATCAGTCACACTACTAATAGCCAAAATTGTTTCATAAATAGGAATCTTATTAACTCAATATCAACGACTAATTATCCGGCGACTTGCGCTAGTGAAAGTGTTTGAGATAAGGCGTTTTATTGCTTGATAAAACAAGGATAAGGCATAAATTAATAAATAAATTGATAAGGCAAAAATTAAATATAAGATTCACTAGTTTCAGCATTAGAAAGATTTGAAATCATAGAAGAGTGATTCAAAGAGGTTTATATGACTAGACAACAGTATTCAAAACTGATCAGAACTTTGAGTGATTCGAAAAGTTTTGTATCAAGGTAAAGTAGGAATGTCTTGTTCTTCCTAGACGAAACTGCAATCTGATTTTGAGTAGTGTTAAACTGTTGTTAGGATTGTCACACAAAACGGTGAAATCTAATATTTTTCTTTTGATTCTTTGATGACTAAGATGATACATTGGTAAAAGAAATGGAGCTGTTTATGTATTTACTTTTAGTTGATCGTTTATAAATAATTCATTTGGTACTTGTGTTATAATTAAATCCTGTGGTAATAAGGATACATCGATATCATCATCAATTTGTGTCGAATCCGGAATACCAGCTTCATCTTCGTCTGATTCACTTATGTAATTAATATAATAACGAGATGCATCTTCATCTTCTATTTGTACGGATTGTAAACGATCAGATAAATGATTAAACTAAAAGGAATCTAACTACGTTTTAAATATCTAATGAGGTTCAAAATTTTAACCAAGAAGACTATACTTTTATAAGTACTACAGATTGTTTCTAAGACGATATGATGCTGTACTATGAGACGGACAATTTACAAATATAGTGTTGAAGACTAATCAAGAGTCAGATTAAAAGAAATAAAAAAAGGATTTTGTAAAAGTTTCTGATTATACTTTAAAACGGTCTCATCGTATTAACGTTTTTAGCAAATCTCTCTGTCATTAGTGTCGATCATTGTGATTTGCTAATGTTATCATTTATCGTCTAGTTTTCAAATTTACATACCGATTCTTCATCGTCACTCATCTTGCTTTGAACAACGATATAAGATAGATTTCTCGGCAAATTAATAAAAAGTATTGTAGCAGCAATGATTTTCCGAAAGTATTTGTATAAATAAAAACAATATCATTCGCCGTTTTCCACAACATTCCATATACGAAAGACGATATTTATCTCATGTCTCATTTGTCTACTCTTCTCTAATCGCAATTAGTAGCACTTATTCCAGACAGCGCCACTCTACGCCTAACATGAGAGTTAACTTGACAGAACTGCACATTATCAGTCTTCATAGAACGAAGTAATACATCGAAAAATTCTTATAAACCTACTAATTTTGTAAACAATTTCTCTTTCATAGTGAGCACTGCTGACTTACGCAAGCGGGAGACTTTTTTTAATCAAAAGCGGGGCCGTTTTCTCACAAATAAGTCACAAATCGAAAAGTCACAAATTCAGCGTTTAAATCACAAACTCCTGTAGCAATGACTCATCGGCAACATTGACTTATTACCTAATTAACAGCTTTCACTCAATTAGATCAAGAGAAAAGATCTAATTAAACTCTAAGATAAACATATGCTTTAGATCTCGCAATGCTTCTGGGTTGAGTGCACAAAACTGTCTTTATTCTCCATCTAATCTATACTAGTTTTCCAGTAAATGTTTAGCTTCATGTATTTAACGAAAAATGGGAATAGATAGAGAAAGATTGCAATCTGGTTTATTAGTTTTTTTGGTAAAGTAACAATTGTAGAAATTACTAATCAATTTTTGCGAGACATTTTAGTATTTGCTAATTCGAGGAAGTATCGAATTTAAGTTTATAAGAAGTGCAACAAGCGTCACCGCCATTTTATAGTAGTCAAACAGTCCTGAAACGAAAATTTCTACATTTCTCTTAATTTCTGATTTTTCTAGTAAAGAAGAAATTTAGTTTAAGCATATTTCATGCTATTCTTTAGTAAGAACATCAAGATCACTGTCTGCAGGTGATCATTGTCCGCAGGTAATCACTAGTTTCTCTTGACTACTGAACGTTATTGAAAATAAATTACATTGAAATAAATTATTATTGAAAATAAAAAAGATTCTAATTCTTTGAGCAAGATTACAAAAATAAAATCCCGTAGAGAATGAGAATAATTGATTCAGTTTCCATTAGATTTACTTTTGTTAGCATCTGAGGATGTTGGTGAGGAGGCGTTCTCTTGTGTTATACCTAATATATTTTCAATATCATTGATTATCAGCTAAACAAATATGAAAATATTATAATTTGACATATAAAGAATCTATTTTTGTACACAAAAAAAAGTTTGTTCGTCCTTGCATATTATTTGTAATTATTTCTTGATAAACCCTCATTTCACTACCTATTGACTACTCAACTTTTTCTCGAGTGGGAGAGTACGGGCTCAGCTAAATTTTCAAGTACAGAGAGGAACATTTTCCATCAACCTGTGCAGTAAATGTGAGTAATATTTACAGAAGATTATTAGAAATAGAATCTAAAGAAGACCATCTTTTCGTACTATTATCTCGTGACTTTTCTTTATTTCATCTTTTTCTTCTTCTCTCCATCAAACGATTCAAAACAAGAATTACAAATGATCTTGTGATGATGTGGTCAGCAAGGAAAATAACAGATAGAACATTGCATAGCAACCTTTTGACCGCGGACTCTTACACAGAGGTGACATCGTTGCTTTCCACTCATTCCAGATGCAATAAAAAATAGCGATTGGACTGACGATTGAAAGTTCGAGCTTTTGCATAGTCAGTCGAACGTTTCGCTGAACTGCATACGGATTCTGAGAACGTTGATTCAAATGTGGATCAACCAGGCTGCGGCCAATTTGTCGAAGGAACAATCGTCGACGATATGGCTTGGTGTCGTTGGTGTGTTCAACTATACATTTTAGAATGATAGAGAATATTCCAGAACATTATAGTATAATGACACAAAGGTCGAGTTCAATTCACTTTCAGAAACTTATAACATAAGATAGAACCTTCTAGAATATTCTCTAGAGCTGGGCGAGGTATGAAATACTTAACTGAAACGATATCTCAACAATAATACGTGTGTAATTAGTTCTACTCTCTGGGGTTCGAGCGGACCCCAAACGATGAAAACACGTTGATGCGTATGTTTAGCTCTTTTATCATGTTGACGCTGTTAGAATCGAAGACACTGATATAATCGATATGCTCGTCGAACTTTCGTTAGTGCATATCTAGAAGATGAAAGATTGATCTGTTACTGTTTGAGGAAAAAGAAGCATAATATTCGATCTGGGATCCGCTCGGATCCCAGATGGTGAAGTGAGAGTTAATAGAATTGAGATTATAGGCAAAATTTGATAGTGTTCCTTGTAAAATATGTATAATGTAAAAGGCGTTTTAATCAAGGAAATCCCATCTTCCTCACCCTAATCTTTTCCTTTAGGGATAATGGAGACTGGAAAATTAGTATCTGAATTAGGAAAAACACCTATCATTGCTGTGTTGATAGTTGCATAAGAGCATTACTGATCAGTTTTTTGTCAAATTAATTGTTTTATTTCACTACTGTTTCTACTTTACACAAATCATACTCTTTAATTTTTGGCTTGATTCTACTTCTAAACCAGAAGCAAGCGAGGTGTGTTTATCGGTCACTATTAGTCTATAAGATGAGTCATCGATGTGGACAGAAGATTTTTTTTCTTTTTTCAAGAAAATTTTATGTTAAACAAGGGACATTCAAAAAAGTTTTCAGAATTTAAGTTACAAATTCAGCGTTTAAATCACAAAATTCTGTAGCAATGACTCATCGACAACATTTATATCGTAAATTAAAAAGGAAATTTACGATTAAACGCCAGCGGTTGACGCTATCTCGTCCGAGAACAATTTGAAACTGTGAATTATTGTAGGAGAACAATATTTATAATCTATCTCAAGGAGAACATATTCAACTGCTACTATCTCGAATGAGAACACCCAGGTCGACGAAAACTGGCATTTAATTGTCCATTAACAGCCTGTTAACTGTATGCCAAAAAATAGCCTGTTAATTGTGTAAAAATCGAATGAAAATTGGCATTNCAGATTATAGGCAATGTCTGAAAAATTGTCATTTTACGGACGCCATTAAATGGCATTTTCGTCCATTTATTAGACCGCGTTAACTAATGCCAAATAAATGTGGCTGTTAAATGTTCGTTTTTTCTCCATTTCAAAATGGCAAAAAACTAGTCATAAAATGGCATTTAACAGCCAATTTATGGTCACCAAGTCATTCACCGTGTTATTCTGCCGTCATGAATAGTATAACTGATTCTGATTTTTCTAAAATAATTTAAAGTGTTTCTCTTCTTCAATTATACGAGTCATAGAAACTTGCCTCGAAGAAGTGGTCTACGGTTCTTGACTCGATGCAGGTGATAGTACCTCAGGTTCAGAAGATATTTTTTTGACATTTTCTA